CGTCTGGGGCCCTGCCCCGACGCAGGGGTCTGGGAGGGAGCGTTACTTTCTGGTGGTCGTCGACGACTTCTCCAGGTACACCACAGTGTTCCCTCTTGCGAAGAAGTCCGAGGTGACTGCTACGCTGATCAGGTGGCTTCTAGCCACTGAGGGCACTCGTGGTCGTCGAGTCAGTTGTCTTCACTCCGACCGTGGGGGCGAGTTTCGCTCCGGCATTCTCGGCGGATTCTGCGGCGAACAGAGCATCACCCAGTCCTGGACGCTGCCAGAGTCCCCATAGCAGAATGGGGTTGCTGAGCGCCGCATAGGCTTGGTCATGGACATCGCCCGCACGTCCATGATTCATGCCCGTGCGCCCCTTTTCTGTGGCCCCACGCGGTTCGCTACGCCGCACACCAGCTGAACCTCCAGCCGCGTGTCTCGCGGCCCGAGGCTTCACCGACCAGTCTCTGGACTGGATCCCCTGGTGTTGGGTCGGCCTTTCGAGTCTGGGGCTGCCTTGCACTTGTTCGCAACACCTCCGCGGACAAGCTCTCAGCACGCGCCGTCCCTTGTGTCTTCCTTGGTTTCCCAGTGGACTCTGCTGACTGGTCCTTTTACCACCCTCCCCTCCACCAGTTCCTAGACTCCCGTGACGTCCAGTTTGACGAGTCTGTGTCCTACTACACCCGGTACCCCTGTCGAGGTCTCCCGCTACCCCCTCCCCCTCTCTTCCTCGCACCCTCTCCTCCTCCTGCTCCCGCTCCTCCGGTACCCCCGCCCCCCCCTGGTCCTGCCCCGTCTGGTGTGTCCCACGCTACCCCTCTACCCTCGGTCGCGCATCAGGTAGCGTCTCCCTCCCCGCAGTCCTCCTCCCAGTCCCCTCAGCAGCCTTTGGCACTTCCGCGACAGGTTACTGTGGACTCGGTTGGTGTTGGAGCTGGAGGTGCAGCCGCTGGCGGTGCTCGGTCTGGGGGTGCTCGGTCGCGGGGTACTGGAGCTGGAGGTGCTGGCGCAGGTGACGCTAGCTCTGGGGGTGTTGGAGCTGGAGGTGCTGGCGCAGGTGGCGCTAGCTCTGGGGGTGCTGGAGCTGGAGGTGCCGGCACTGGAGGTGCTGGTTCTGGGGGTGCTGGAGTTGGGGGTGCTGGCACTGGCGGTGCTAGTTCTGGGGGTGCTGGAGTTGGAGGTCTTGGCACTGGCGGTACTGGTTCTGGGGGTGCTGAGTCTGAGGAGACTGACGCTGGAGACCCTGGTTCTGCGGAGTCCACCCCGCCCCCCCACCGCCACGACACGCATCTCCAGGCTGCCCGTCGGCGTGAGCGTGAGGAGCAGGAGTGGTTGGAGAGGGAGCGGCAGGAGCTGCGGGTGCTGGACCTTCTGGAGCAGCAGCGGCGGCAGCAGCAGCAGCAGCAGCAGCACCCACAGCCGCAGCAGCAGCAGCCGCAGCCGCAGCAGCAGCGGCCGCAGCCGCCACCGCAGCTTCCTCAGGAGCGGCGGTTGTTCCCACCTGTGAGTGGCCTGCGGGCCCTTGGCCTTTCCTCCTCTCCTCCTGTCCGCTCCCAGTCTCCTCCTGTGTTTGTTCCTCCGTTGCCTCCTCCTGACGACCGTCCGGCGGTCTGGTCTTCTCCTCCTCCTCAGTCTCCTCCTCCCTCTGTCCGTCGCGACTTGATCACTCGTTGTCCTCTGCGTGCTCGTCACTCGTCCCCTGTTACTGACCTCCACACTGCCCTCCTTTGTTCGTCTCGTCGTCGTTCTCCTTCTCCTGTGTCCGTTCTCCTGTCTCCTCCTCCGTCCTCTCTACCTGCCCTCCCCACTCCTATCTCTGACTACTACCGCGCTGTTCGTCCTGTTGCCGCACGTGTCCTCGCCACTCTTGTCACCGACCCTCGTTTCCCTCCGTCGTCTGTCTCGGCTCTCACTGCCGCTGTCGCTGAGTTTGCTGCCGCCAACCGCCTTGACTACGCCACCCGTGTGGTGCCAGCTCCTCCCTACCGTCCTCTGTCCGTCGGGGGTGGGTTTGCCCTTGGCTGTGACGTCCTAGAGGATAGAGAGTCTGAGCTGGAGTACTGGGCAGCCACTTCTCCCTCTGTGTGTGCCATGCTGCTCTCCCCTGAGGGAGACCCCGACGCCCTTGACATACCGACTCCTCGCACTTACCGCGAGGCAGTGTCAGGGGCGTGGGCCTCTCAGTGGAAAGCGGCTATGGACTCAGAGTTGGCGTCTTGGAGATCCACAGGCACCTACGTCGACGCAGTTCCCCCACCCAGGGCGAACGTAGTCGATGGCATGTGGCTCTTCAAGGTGAAGCGGCCGCCTGGAGCACCGCCGGTGTTCAAGGCGCGCTACGTGGCTAGGGGTTTCAGTCAGCGTGAGGGAGTTGACTTCTTCCAGACCTTCGCCCCGACCCCGAAGATGACTACTCTTCGGGTGTTACTCCACATAGCAGCGCAGCGAGACTACGAGCTGCACTCCCTCGACTTCTCCACTGCGTTCCTCCAGGGCCGACTGCACGAGGAGATCTGGCTGCGCCGTCCTCCTGGCTTCACTGACACCTTCCCACCTGGGACCCAGTGGAGCCTGAGGCGACCAGTCTACGGTCTCCGCCAGTCGCCCCGTGAGTGGCACGCCACTCTTCGCTCCACGCTTCATGACCTTGGGTTCAGCCCGTCCTCCGCCGACCCGTCGCTGTTTGTTCGAGCGGGTTCTACTCCTTTCTTTATCCTTGTCTACGTCGACGACTTGGTGTTTGCTACAGCAGACAGGGCAGCCCTGGCTCAGGTGAAGTCCGAACTGCAGAAGAGACACAAGTGCACTGACCTGGGTGAGCTGCAGCGCTACCTTGGCCTGCAGATCACCCGGGACAGAGCCGCTCGCACCATCACACTGACGCAGTCACACATGGTGCAGCAGGTCCTTCGGCGGTTCGACTTCCAGTTCTCCACCACACAGCCCACTCCTCTTGCTGTTGACCACAGACTCACGGGCCCCTTTCCTGATGAGCCCTTTGAGTCCAGTGGACCCTACGCAGAGCTGGTGGGCTGCCTCATGTACCTGATGACTTGTACTCGACCGGACCTCGCCTTTCCACTCAGCATCCTTTCTCGCTTTGTTGCGACTGGGAGACACCGCCCTGTCCACTGGACAGCTGCTGTGAGGGTGGCGAAGTACCTGGCGACTACATCAGGCTTGGGGCTTGTGCTTGGAGGGACTCAGCCAGTGGCGTTGACTGGTCACTGCGACTCTTCCTACGCTGACGACGTGGAGACTCAGCGCTCGACTCAGGGTTACTGCTTCAGTCTGGGAGCTGGTGTTGTGTCGTGGAGGTCTACACGGTCGTCGTCTGTGGCTACTTCCAGTGCAGAGGCAGAGATCTACGCTGGTGCCATGGCGGCACAGGAGCTTCGCTGGTTGACCTTCTTGCTCGTTGACCTTGGTGAGCGGCCTCGCTCTGCACCGACCTTGTACGCTGACAACAAGGCCATGATCCTCCTGTGTCGAGAGCCTCGACTGGAGAGCAGAGTGAAGCATATTGACGTGAGGTACTTCCTCCTGCGAGAGCTGCAGCGACGCGGCCAGGCACGCCTGGACTTTGTGGCCTCAGAGGCCAACACTGCAGACGTCTTCACCAAGGCCTTGGCGCTTGGTGATCACCACAGGTTCTGTGTGCAGTTGGGGCTTGTTGAGGTAGGCCCTCGGTTGCTGTAGTCTTGTTGTTTGCTCTGCTTGTTGTGCTTCCTATTTATATCCTAGTGAACTCTTGAACTGGTCTTGTGGCCACTTGCTTGCTCTCGGAATTTGTGTGGTGTCCTTGAGATCCACCCTGAGCTTGTCTTGTTTCTTGCTTTGACTGGTCTTGTGACCGTTTGTTCACCTTGCTTGCTTTGATGCCCCTCACTTAGCCTATGGGGGTGTGTCAAATGTAATTCTATGCTTGTAGGCTACAGTGAGTAGCACAATAGGGAGTACAGTTGTTAGGGTTGCACATTTGTACTTCCACACTTTCTAGTTTCACCATTCCGTTGTTCGCTAACTTTGAGAGCCTATATCCGGGGTAATACGGTACTACTGACATACTTGAGTTGGTTAACAAGAACCAAAAAGTACACACTGTTGCAAACTTCCAAAAATGATTGAAACAAGTAGACAACTACTAGGGGAGTCAGAATCCCCCAAAAAAACTATTGGATACCAACCTTACGTCCATAAAACACCAAAAAAAAAGACCATTTCAAGCTCCACAATTCAGCCACTTGTATGGCCATACCTGCAAAACAACCACTGAGAATGCATTGAATAGATACCTTAAGACATGATTTACCCATTTCAGTCATAAACAAGACTCGACGTTGACGTCGGAAGGGTTGCGTAGAGCTGTATTCCGTGTGTAAGGAACATTATGAAAGAGTACAATATAATCATATTTTGCTTAAAGAAGCAATTAATTAAGTTCTTCATTTTAACTTAAAGCAGGATACCGTATATGGTGCTTCGTTCTGCACTAGCAGAGGTTGTATCTGTTATGAGTTGTAAAAGAGAGTGCGCAGGTAAACGAATAACGAGACTGTGATTAACTCAAACTGAGAATACAATGAAGGCACAGACTAATGTAGGGGCTAGCCTAGCTAGGAGGAAACCTCGGACGAGCGAGGTTGGGGTGCAGGTTTGGCGATGGGAAATGCCGAAGGCGACGCGAGGAGCCTCGGCAGCGTTGAAATCGGCCGAACGTGCGAAGTCCGAAAATCGGGCTGTACGCGTAGCAGTCAACCCGATAAGGAATTAAGGAAAATTCCTTAGAGTATCGTTCTACGGTGGCAGAAATTGTCTTGTTCTGCGCAGGCAGAAGTTCTCATTCTGCGCTGGCAGAAATTTTATCTCTGCGTTGGCATCCGTCCCTTTCACAGCTGTCAACTCAATTCCTGCGCTCTTTTCTTGGTTCTTTTGTTCTGGTTCCTCTCGACTCGACAAGCGCACCTGCTCTGCTCTTAGTCCTCTTCCTTCCCCCCCCCCCAAATTCTCGCCAGTTCTCCCACCCAGCCGTCGCTCTCGCTCCCATCCCGCCGTATCCTCTCCCTCACTACCCGCCTTCACCTCTCCTATTCACCTCACAGTCACTCAGTCCCACCCCGCGATCTCCTCTTCCTTACTTCCCCGTCGTCGCCTCTCCCTCCTCCCCATCGTCGCCTCTCCCTCCTCCCCGTCGTCGCCTCTCCCTCCTCCCCGTCGTCGCATCTCCCTCCTCCCCGCCGTCGCCTCTCCCTCCTCCCCGCCGTCGCCTCTCCCTCCTCCCCGCCGTTGCCTCTCCCTCCTCCCCGCCGTCGCCTCTCCCTCCTCCCCGCCGTCGCATCTCCCTCCTCCCCGCCGTCGCCTCTCCATCCTCCCCGCCGTCGCCTCTCCATCCTCCCCGCCGTCGCCTCTCCCTCCTCCCCGCCGTCGCCTCTCCCTCCTCCCCGCCGTCGCCTCTCCCTCCTCCCCGCCGTCGCCTCTCCCTCCTCCCCGCCGTCGCCTCTCCCTCCTCCCCGCCGTCGCCTCTCCCTCCTCCCCGCCGTCGCCTCTCCCTCCTCCCCGCCGTCGCCTCTCCCTCCTCCCCGCCGTCGCCGCTCCCTCCTCCCCGCCGTCGCCTCTCCCTCCTCCCCGCCGTCCCCTCTCCCTCCTCCCCGCCGCCGCCTCTCCCTCCTCCCCGCCGCCGCCTCTCCCTCCTCCCCGCCGCCGCCTCTCCCTCCTCCCCGCCGTCGCCTCTCCCTCCTCCCCGCCGTCGCCGCTCCATCCTCCCCGCCGTCGCCGCTCCATCCTCCCCGCCGTCGCCGCTCCTTCCTCCCCGCCGTCGCCTCTCCCTCCTCCCCGCCGTCCCCTCTCCCTCCACGCGGTTGCCTCTCCCTCCTCCCCGCCGTCGCCGCTCCCTCCTCCCCGCCGTCGCCTCTCCCTCCTCCCCGCCGTCGCCTCTTCCTCCTCCCCGCCGTCGCTTCCGGCGACAGGTGCACGAGCGCAAGCGCGAGTTGGTGCGCGAGCGCGGATTGGTGCGCGAGCCCGGGTTGTTTTCTGAGTTACCGTGGTTATCTGGTGCGTTCCTAGTCCTTTCATCCTCCCTCCTCCCTCTGAAAAAAAACTTTTTCTTCTTCTTTTTTTGTTTGTTTGTTTTTTGCTCTCCTCGTGAGAGAGCGCGTGAGAGAGCGCGTGACAGTGCGTGTAAGAGCCCGTGAGAGCGAGCGCGCCTGAGAGAGCGTGCGAGGGAGCGCGTGAGTGAGAGTGCGCGTGAGAGTGCGAATGAGAGATTGCGTGAGAGAGCGCGGGAGGGAGCACGTGAGAAAGCGCGTGAGGGAGCACGTGAGAGTGTGTGAGAGAGTGCGCGAGAGAGTGCGCGAGAGAGTGCGCGAGAGAGCGCGTGAGAGTGCGGAAGAGAGAGCGCGCAAGATTGTGTGCAAAAGAGCGCGTGGGAGAGTGCGCGCGATAGAGCGCGCGAGTTTGCGCATGAGGGAGCGCGTGAGAGAACGTGGGAGTTTGCGCGTGAATTTCTGTTGCGCTTACTTTGTTTTTTTGTGCATCAAGGAAGCTGCATTCTCGGATTTTGTTTTCTTGTGCAATTAATGCAAGTTGTATTCTCTGATTTTGTTCTTGTTTGTGCAGGGAGTGAGTTGCATTCCCTGATTTTTCTTTCCTGTGCAGGGAGTTCAAGCTGCAGCCTTTGTTTCTTGCGGAGAAAAGGGATGGGGAGAAGGGAGATGAGGGAAATGAGGGAGGGAGGGAGGGAGGGAGGGAGGGAGGGAGGGGAACGGGGGACAGGATAGTGATGATTTATACAAGGCTGAAATTCATTCATTATGCTTGCATGCTTATTACAGTAGCTGTATGTTTTTGCGTTGTGTGTGTCTGTACATGTGTGAGCCTGTATGTGTGAGTGCGTACATGTGCATACGTGTGTTGTGCGTGCTTCAGGGTGTGGTGCTAAGTGCCTCCTGAATGCAACTCGGATTGTGATCGTCGGTAGGGCAGCTTTGCTCGCCTCTTCCGTACCATATCAATCTCAGTTGCAGCACTGATGCATTTAGCATTCGCATTGAAACATTCTTAAACGTTGTCTTATGTTTTTGTAATATTTTATGTGTTATCGTCTGTGCTTGTTTCGGGGGTGTGGTGCTAAGTGTCTCGTGTATGCAACTGGGATTGTGATCGTCGGTGGGGCAGCTTTGCTCGCCTCTTCTGTACCATATCAGTCTCAGTTGTTGCATTGATGCATTTAGTATTCCCTTCAAAACATGTACGACGGTTCTTGTACACCATCGTTTTTGTGGTCATTTGTGTATGTGTGTCTCTCGGTGGTACTGTAGTATTTTATGTGTTGTCCTTTGTGTTCGTGTGTCATTTGTCAAAACATATTGTTATGTTCTTACTCTAGGTTGTGTAGGGTCACACCTTAGAGGGTACAACCCAACTCTCTCGACACTCTTGTACCCCCTCTCCCTCACCTAATCATCATTCCTCACCTAGCTACTAGTGATTCTAACATGGTATTAAGAGCACAATGCTCCTTAGGACCGAATGTTTAAAAGGGCCCACCACTACTATTTCGATCTACTGCCCGAGTCGCGCCCCTAGGAGAAACGCGAAATTCGAAACCGTGCTCTAGGCGAGACGGTTCCTTTTTCTGCCCTAGACGCGATTTTCCTTCCTAGTCACGTGCGACCCCCCCTGACCGCGCCTTAGCTGCCAGTACAGCCCGCGTAGGCCCGTCGCGAAGCCCGTACAGCCCGCGTAGGCCCGTCGCGAAGCCCGTACATCCCGCGTAGGCCCGTCGCGAAGCCCGTACAGCCTGCGCCAGGCCGTCGCGCAGCCCGTACAGCCCACGTCAGGCCCGCACCCAGCTCGTAAAGCCCGCGCCAGGCCCGCACGCAGCCCTTATAGCCCGCGCCTGGCCCGCACGCGGCCCGTGTTACTGCTGCACTCGCTGCTGCTGCTACACTGCTGCGCCTGAACTGCTGCTGCAGTGCTGCTGCCGCCTGTACTGCCCTGAAACTGCTGCTGCTACTTGCTGCAGCTGCTCCTCCTTGCTGCTGCTGCTGCTACTTGCTGCAGCTGCTCCTCCTTGCTACTGCTGCTACAGCTAGCGCTACTCACTGCTGCTGCTACTGACGCTACTCCTGTTACAGCTAGCGCTACTCACTGCTGCTGCTACTGAAGCTAGTGCTGCTACAGCTAGTGCTACTGCTGCTGCTGCTACTACCGCACTTGCTACAGCTGCTACTGACTGAAGCTACGGCTGCTACAGCTAGTGCTACTGCTGCAGCTCCTACTCCAACACTTGCTACAGCTACTATTGGCTGAAGCTACTCCAGCTACAGCTAGTGCTACTGCTGCAGCTCCTACTCCAGCACTTACTGCAGCTGCTCCTGACTGAAGTTACTGCTGCTACAGCTAGTACTACTGCTGCAGCTCCTACTACTTCACTTGCTACAGCTAGTGCTACTGCTGCAGCTCCTACTCCAGCACTTGCTACAGCTGCTCCTGACTGAAGCTACTGCTGCTTGACTGAAGCTACTGCTGCTACAGCTAGTACTACTGCTGCAGCTCCTACTACTGCACTTGCTACAGCTAGTGCTACTCGGTCTACTGCTGCTGCTGCTGCTGCTCGGTCTGCTGCTGCTGCCCGAGCCGCCCTGCTACTGCTGCTACTGGAGGGAGTACTGCTGGGAGTGGTGGAGGTGCGGCCTCCCACCCCCACCGAACCGCCCTGCTGCTGTAACTACTGCTGCTGCTGCTACTTGTGCTACTGGGAGTGGAGGAGGTGCTGCTGGGAGTGTAGGAGGTGCTGCTGGCGCTGTAGGAGCTGGAGGTGCTGGACCTACTCCTGACAGTCACTGTCTGTCATGGCCACTTCCGCGGCAGTCGCTGCGGCCAGGGGTGGACAGCAGCGGGCACTGCTTCTCCCGGACGACCCCACCCCTCGGCAGCTTCGTGAGTGGGTTATTCAGCGAGGTAGTCCTGGTGGTGGAGGTTATCGTTCTGTTAAGACCGCTGCTCTTGGTGTTAGTGAGTCTGCTGCCACTCCAGGTGTTAGTCAGTCTGCTGCCACTCCAGGTGTTAGTGAGTCTGCTGCAGCTCTAGGTGCCCGTGAGTCTACCGACGCTCTAGTTGCTAGTGCGTCTACTACCACAGGTCCTGCCTCAGCTGAGGTCTTGCACACTTTCACGCTTGACTCCGGCGCGTCACGTTGCTTCTTCCGTGATTGCACCACAGCCACACCACTCACAGCACCTGTCCCAGTCTCACTGGCTGACCCCTCTGGGGGCCCAGTGGTAACATCATTGGGTACCGTATCATCTTTAGTGCTAGAAAGATTCTCCAATTGTTCCATTCGCCGTACTTATCGACGATTATGGAATGATTGGAAACATTTGTTTTCATTTTTTTGGGGAAGCTATGTGAACAGTGATTTCTTTCAAAATTTATAATATAAAAGAAATTCAATGTTCACATCAGCCAACCGAAAATTGAAAACGAATGTATAAGGTTGCTACGCAACCCAAAAACCCCACTTTAAAACCACCTCACATTCACATCATTCAGTAATACAACATTGCATTGAAAGAAAAGCATAGAAACAATTATACAGACTGAGGAATTTTTGACAATATACTACACCACAGTTTATCGCGCTGCTGCCGTCAGCCGCTTGCGATCAAACGGTTAGTCGCCTGTGTTCACGCTTAACGATACGGTAACCGGCGTCCCCGTCAACTGTTCACGCTGGGGAAACACTTGGCGAACTGGTTACCCTTAGCCAATGATCTATCTGGAAATAGGTAAAACGGCCAAACCTCGGGTCTAGCTAGGTCTAGTTTTTTTATTTCGCCTCTGGCATTTTCGGGGGGTGGGTCTAGGTAGGTCTAGCGCCCGAGCCGCGCCCTTCCCCCTGGCCACCCACATCTATTTCGGGCAGGGTGTGGTGGGTCGCATCGCAACTCGGGCTGACAGCGCATGCACCCCAAAACGAATCGAGAACCCTGGAGATCTGCCTTCCAGGGAGAAACTCTCATCCCCAGCTCCTGAACTGACGAAACCGTTGTGTAACCCCATGCTAGCCAATCATGCGAAGCGAGGGTAGACGAGGTTCGGGATTATTTATCACTTTCGTTCTGAAAGGCGGTCGCCCATTCGCTATCTGGGTACTGTTTTGGCGGGAAAGCTACGCATAGACGTACCCATCAGGTCCGCTCGGATGCCGAACCTGGTCCATGATGGACCAGTTTTCTCCTCCTGGTTCAACAAGCGGAAAACTATGACAGCGTTCACTTCATGGCATAGCTTTCACAAGGGAATCACGAATAGCTAGATAGGAATGCTCTCACATTATACATTGCTTAGAATCCAGCATCTGCTAGAATCATGAGTAGTATCTAAGGCCCTATGGCGACTCTTGAGCTAGCGGAAGGGGAAATCCCACATCAGCAACAGCCTGATGACGTTCCAAGTATAACTGACCACCTGCTAGGAACCATTCTTCTCCTCGTCGCATCTAAAGGCACCGACTTTGATATCCACGACTGTCTTTCCACTAACGAATCTATTTTGCAAAGCAGGATCGAAAACGCGTTAAACGAGCACCTGCCGAGCGAAAGCGTCTGGTTCGGGTTACCCGACGCTCCTGTCGCCACGGCCTCATCGCTCACTGCCTTCCACCACGCTCTGGTCTGCAAGCGATGGTTGCGCGTCGCCAGATCCGTGCATCCCGCCATCGTCGTGCCTCGAAAACGCTTCTTCTCCTCTCGAGCTCTCGCCTCGCTCCTCGCTTCACCCACCTTGGGATTCCCGAACCTCCGTCATCTGCATCTCGGCGAATCAGGATTGGACATCGTAGATCGCCACCTCGTGCGATCCATCTGCATCGGATGCGGCTCGTCCTTGACCCATCTCACGATGCATCTGGACGGCCGTCAGCCAGTGACGTCCACGCAACCGGCCGGCATTAGCTGCGGGGAGCTGTCAACCAGCCTTGAACCAATCTCGGCCTCAGACGTCGCCGAGATCTTCAATTCCTGCACGCGATTGGTCAATCTGGATCTACGGCTGGGTGAAGGTGTTTGCGAGATCCCAGCTTCCATCAGCCGCCTACAGCAGCTCACGCGCCTCAGCATGAGCTTCAGTAACGTTACTGGGTTACCAGAAGAGATGTGCAGGTTGTTGGGATTGAAGAAGTTACTCATCGCGTCGCAGTCGCTTAG